GTGCTGTATGGGATATAAAGCACTTGGGATTGGGTCTCGAGACCAATACAGCACTCGGCCTTCGGCCTCGTGCTATATTGGTCTCTCGACCCAATCCCTCGTGCTTTATATCCCATACAGCACTCCAACCATGCTTTAATTATAACATATTGTTGTTATATTATTATTATTATTATTATTATTATTATTATTATTATTATTATTATTATTATTATTATTATTATTATTAGTCCAACTGGTGCTGACACTGGTATTGTCAATGTTAACATTCCGACTAACGGAGCAGAAATAGGCGGAGCGTTTGGTGGAGAGAAGGCAACGGGAGGAGGACGTGAGTCAGGGAGTGACGCCTGGAAACAATATATGAGACGATCTACTTGGTAAGCCACACGCACCAATGATATTAACCACGCCCACTAATAACCACACCCCTTTTCTAGTACCATCAATTACAGTAAAGAACTTCCACTAGCGCAAGGCATCAAGTTTGAATAAACTGTTACTAAAAATAACTTGTAACTATAAATAACTTATCATTTGTTCTGCTAGTTATTAATACAGGTTATTAAGTAGTTATTAAGTTTAGTTATTAATCGCTTCATTTTGATCCAACTCTTGTTCTTTTGTCCCAAGAAAAATTGTCTCCGTAAGATTTTCGTCTCGTTATTGGAAGCTGTTCTTTCGTCACCTGATACTTGAAACCTGTGGTGGGCAGGGTCAGGGGTTACCATGACAACACGTTGCTTACCGCTCTGAACGGCGAATGCAATAGCTTGCTCCTTGGAATCAAAATTAATTATCACATTAGAATTAGGATCACCACTAAATAAATAATAAATAAATAGAATGTATTGTAGGGCATCTTTTTTAATGTTGTTCCAGTATGACTTTTTCATTACAGTTCCAGTTTTAGTTCCACTGAAATTACTTGTAATTTTAGTTCTAGTTACCTACTTCTAGTAAAATAATTTTAGTTCTAGTACTAGTTTCAGTATTCTATAATGGCTATAAATTTAATTCTAGTTTAGTTCCAGTACTATAGGCTTTTTAAATTTCAGTTCTAGTATATAGTTCCAGTACTTAGTCCTTTTGAGATTCAGTACTTAATATTAGTTCCAGTTCATATATAGTTCTTGTTATAGTTCAAAGAAGAAAC